AATGCCTTATCACATTCACCTTATCACATTCACCCTGTGCTAATCCCACTCCACACCCCAGCTGAGTCACTAAACCACGCCAGCAAGAGCTACAAAGCCCCATGCTGACCTGGCCCTAGAATCAGGCAAGCCCAGCAATCACTTGCCTCCTACTTGGTCTCCTTTCTGTCTTAGAGAATTTCTGCTTCTAGTTCCTCTACCCAATACACATTTTTCTCTCCTTGTCCTCTTTAGCAAGGTCTCAAAGTTATGCTCACACACTACCTCCTTGGACAAGCCATCCTAGACAACCAGACCAGAAGAGCCTTTATGACGCACTCTTGAGACCTCTGAACTTTCTTTCATTGCACCCAGTTATTAATATTGACTTATTTTTTGTTTAACTTTGTCAACTTGACACAAACACCACCCTGTGACATTAACTGTTGCCCTCCATAAACATCTTAAATCTAGAATCACCTGAGAAGAGAGTATCAGAGAAGAATTATCTACACTGGGCTGGCCTGTGGGTATCTATGGGAGATTGGTCTTAATTAAGTTAATTAATGTGAACAGACCCAGCACATTTTGGGTGATACCACTCCATAGGCAGGGTTCTGTGAGTAAAGAAATGGAGCTGAGTACGACAAGCAAGCGGGCAGGCAAGCAAATGAGCATGCATTAATTATGCTCTGTTCCTGACTGTGTGATGTAACTGATCTCCTGCCTTATCTTCCCCACAGAGGTGGGGTGTGACCTGGAATTGTGAGTTGTAATAAATTCTTTCTCCCTAAGTTAGTTTTTGATAGGATATTTTATCATAGCAACAGAGACAAATGAAAACATTTGGTTAGCACTTTCTTTTTCAGTGAGAAGTCCAGGAGTGACCATCCCAGAAGGGTCCAGATTTAATGAGCTTTTGATGTCACACCGCCCTGCACCTCTAAACTGCACATCCATGCATGCAACCAATCACAGACATGAAAGAGTGGCAACTGTACTGGACACGAACAATCTCCCAAGCAATGCACTATAGCGAATGTTTAGCAGCATGTGCATTGTGTTAGGTATTACAAGTCTCCAGTGATGGTCAAAACTGTGCAGCAGGACTGTGGAGGGTCTATGCAAAGACTACACCATTCCAAGTTAACATTTTTGCCTCGTGGCAGAGAACAGAACCCAGGGCTTTGCACGTGCTCAGTAAGCACATGGCCTATGTTTCCAGTCCACTGCACCACTTTATATAATGGATTTGAGCATCTGCATATTACAGCAGTGTGGGGGGAAGGAGAATGGAGCCAATCCCCATGGATACCAAGGGATGACTACATATAGTTTAAAAGACTACATGCTGAGAAAGATGTCAGTGGCCTGGCTCTGGCTGCTGAGATGCGACTGGGATGGGTAGGAGAAAAACGATGCTTGATCTCATTGCCAGCCTTATGTCAAAGGCCAATAAGGACCTGCCTATATCCTCATGGGCAAATAAGAAAGAGATGTGTCTATTCAGAATGAAGAGAGGGAGAGGCAAGAGAAAAGGATGGGAGGAGGAAGGGGAGAGGGGGAGGACAGGGGGAGGAAGAGAAGGAGAGAGAGAGTGGGGAGGGAGGAGGGAAAGCAGGCTAAGAAATAAAGGCTTGGAGAATCAGTGTGATAGTAACATGGGAGCAAAACCATTACTCTACTTATGAAGGACTAAAGGTGAACTGTAAATCCAACAGTCAAAATGTACAAAAATCCACCGCCTCAGATGCCAGCATGAGACGTTAGCTGTTGTCCACCATGCACATGCTAAATCTAGACTTCACAGGGTGTAATTTTTGGTGCTGATGAAGTGTTTACACAGTAGCTGGGAAGTTTCTCCTTTCATTTTTATTATAAAGGCAATGTAAGTACAAGGGAAGGAAGGCAAACAGAGCAGAGGGGAATAAACAGAAAATGTAAAGTTTCAAAGGCGATGCTGATCTCCAGCCTTGACTCCCAAAGGCAGTGGCTTGTGTTGAGAGATTTGGTTTCTTTCCAGCACTTTCCGTGCAGCCTTGTGAAAATATTACTGATATTTTTAGACAAGTGGGACTATGTTATCCATTTTTGCTTTACAATTTATTCTTTCTTCAGCATATATTAGATATTGGCCCCTTTCCACATTCAGATTTTTATAGCTCTCTAATAGTCTGCATGAAAATCTTTCAAGTACTCTCTTATGATTGGACAATTAAGAACCACAGTTCACATAATGATATGATCAATAGGCTCCTTCATACACTAGTTCCCCAGAAGAATATATGGCAGAGATTTTGCCTGCTTTGTTCCCTGATAAGACCCTTCCACTTGGTATAGGACCTGCCACACTGTATGCCCAATTAACCTTCTTTGGAAGAGTAATGGCTATTGTGTGTACACGTGTGTGGACTCACACATGTGTTCATGTATATGTATTGTGTGTACACATGTGGAGGGAGACCAGAGGTTAACCTTGAGTATCAATCCTCAGTAACTGTCCACCTTGGTTGTATTTTCTAATTACATGCTATAGCACACATGTGGAGGTCCGAGAACAACTTTCAGGAGTCAAATTTCCTTCCGGCATGTGAATCCCTGAGACCAAACTCAAGTAGTCAGGCTTAGCGACAAACATCTTGACCACTACCTTGTGTTGGAGACAGGCTGTCTCACTGGCCTGGATGACAAGCCCCAGGACCTACCTGTCACTACCTCCCAGCAATGGGGTCCTCCAGTTCTTTCACATTGGTTTTAGGACCACACACAGGTACCCATTCTTCCACAGAAAGCACCTTCCCTACTAGCTTTACTCAGTCACTCTATAGATATGCTCGAACAATTGCTTCCTTATATATTCCTATCTATAGTTAAAAATTATTTGTTATGTATACAGTGTTCTGCCTGCATGTATGCCTGCACACCAGAAGAGGGCGCCAGATCTCATTACAGATGGTTGTGAGCCACCATGTGGTTGCTGGGAATTGAACTCAGGACCTCTGGAAGAGCAGTAAGTGCTCTTAACCTCCAAGCCATCTCTCCAGCACCCTATCCATGCTGTTTGCGGGTTTGTTTTGATAAACTAGGAACCTTATCTTTAAAGTTCAGTGTAGTCAAAATAAGAAATTCTTGTGCATTCATTTCCCAGTATTGCTGTGATAGATTACAGAAGTTAAAATACCACAAATGCAGTTTCTCCCAGTTCTGGGCATCTGATGTGCAAAATGGGTTGTGAGAGACAGCTGTAATATTTCTTGAGGTTCCAGGGAAGAAACCATGTGTTCTCCAGCTTCTAAAGGCTGCATTCCTTGCCCTTCACACCTCGTTCTGACCTCAGTTTCCCCTTTACATCTCCTTTGAAGCTAATTCTCCTGCCTCCCCTTTGCCCTTAAACACTTGATGGCTATATTGGGCACACCTATAATTTGACATCATTTCTCCATCTCAAGAGTTTAGCTTAATCACATCTACAAAGTCCCCTTTGCCATGAAAAATAACACAAAAGGTTCCGGGAATTCAACGCAGGCATCTCTCGGGTTGTATTATTCTGCCTGCCACAGTATGGGAGGAATTGGGTGTAAATATCAGCATTATCACCCACGCACCCACCTACCTCTGAATGTGTGTTGAATCCCTACTTATATTCTGATCAAAAGCTAAGAAATACATCACCTGGCTCTGTGGCCTTGCCTGGTTATGTAACCTACTTGCAGAACTACAGGAATTACTGCACGGCTCACAGGAATGCTGCATGTAAAGTGTCTGCAGGCACCCCTTCCACTTGAGGAGAATATGTGACTAAATGTAAGGAAAACACTGGAGGAAGAGAAACAGATCCTCTTAGAGGCTGCTGACGTGAAGGGACTGGTAGACATTTTGGAAGGCAATGTAATAAAGGTAATGAAAACTCAGATAAATGTTTCCTTTTATCCCATTAATCACCCACTTCCAAGAATGTACCTCGAGGGTCTGGTTGAATTTCTCTACAATGCAGCTAGTGAAACACTATATATAATGCTTGTGGAGAGGAGTGGGAGCCGACTGAATGTTCTCAAATAATAATTAGATAACAAACATAGGCATCCACATTACAGAAAACTCCGCCACATAAAGGACTTTAAAAGATTATTACATCAGAGATCTGTGAAATATTAATTGTCACATTAATTAGTGACAAATTTGGAGGTCTACCACTGAGCTATATCCCAGCACTCTATACTTTGTGTTGGAGGGTCCACATCTGTAACTCAGGCTGACTTTGAATTTGCTTCATCATCTGGAATAGCGAGGATTACAGCCTCTGCCACCTGTATAAACCAAAACTCAGGTTTCAAATCCGGGTCATTTATTATTTCATATAGATAAAAATGTGTGTGTGTGTGTGTGTGTGTGTGTGTGTGTGTGTGTGTGTGTGTGCGCGCGCTTCATAGCCGAACAGTCGTATTTTGCCTTCTCTTGTATTTCTTATGGAAATACTAACAATAAAGGGGGGGAGGGGAGTTTGAGAGAGACGTTCTCCTAGATTTGCTTACCTAGCATTTCTAGGCAGTTACAAACACGACCCAAGATGTCCCTCTAGTGGAAGGCGGAACGCAGCTGCAGCTGGCACCTGATTGTGACTTTAAGAAACAGCATATTCAAGGTTTTTGCAAACAAGAAGCAGAAATGCGCACCCAGAATCAGCACCTCTTCCCCAGCGTGCGGTTTAGTCTCTACTTTTGTAATTATCTCCTTCAAACATTTTGAATAAGCACAGTACTTTATGCATTTCTGCTTCTTGTTTGCTAACATTCTGAACTGTCGATATTGGAGGGTTACGATAAATAGACTTCTCTGTTGGCATTTTGTTAGTTTATGTTCTGGGTCTAGAGAACCAAAACTCGAAGCCACCTGGTTACCGCCTGAACCGGACACTTGTCTGCGCGCTGCCTTCAAGGCTTTCAGCGCCTTTCGGCTAAGTTCGGCTACCTCCGGCCCTCTGGCTCGGCTTCATTCGGAACACATTTGTCCTAGCCTCGATTCTTCGTCGGCTACAATTGGTTGGCTCTTCTCTTGGACTCGGCTCCCTTCGGCTACGTCCGGCCTACTCTCGTCTCAAACTGTTGCAGCGATCTTCGTCCGGCGATCCTCCGGCCTCGGCGTTCATCCGCGGCGTTCGGCCAGCGCTCGGCTCGGCTCGGCTCGGCTCGGCTCGGCTCGGCTCTTTCCGTCCTCATCGGGCCGCGGCCCCGGAAGGGCTCCTATGGAGCGGGGCTTCCTGGCTGTACGCAAGGCAATGGCGCCGCTGTTGGAGTACGAGAGGCAGCTGGTGCTGGAACTGCTCGACAGCGACGGGCTGGTGGTGTGCGCCCGCGGGCTCGGCGCCGACCGGCTCCTCTACCATTTCCTGCGGCTGCACTGTCACCCGGCCTGCCTGGTGCTGGTGCTCAACACGCAGCCAGCCGAGGAGGTGCGACTGCGAGAGGGGTGGACCCGAGGGCGAGGGGACATCAGGGCCGCTACCCGCGCGGCGTGAGCGCGAAGCTGTGGGTTTGCGGGGACCCCGAGCCAGCGCAGGTCTCAAACGGCACACGAAAGGGAATGAGTGAATGGAGGTCCCTGAGGGAGATTCCGGGCACCCACATAGTTCTGTGGCGCTGCGAAGGAGGGAAGGGAACCCCAGGAAGTCCAAGTGGCTGCCACGACTTGGGAGGGCATTGAGTGCCGGTCCTTGAAGGAGACCCAGGGCTCTGACACTGCGGGAGGACCCTGCAAGGAGGGAGCGCGTCCCCGGGAAGTCTTGGCTTTCTCGCTTGACAGGGAGGGCACAGAATAGAGCGCTGTGGGAGATACAGGGCCCACAGCTTGAGGACACTAAGAATGCGGCTCCTACACACTCTCTGACAGTGAAAAAGAGAGGGTGACTAAGGTACACATTTAGGTAGGGGAGTGGAATGGAGTGCGCTGCAAAGGCGGGAAGCTGTCAGAATAATACAGAATAAAGCTGCAGGAATAATGTGTGAGCCTGGAAGTAAAGTATTAAGGTATTTCCGGGGACAGAAGACAGAAGAGTGGGGTCCCTAAAAGGACAGTGATGGGGACGGCAGGGTCTCTGAGAGGAGCACAAAAAGGAAAGTAGACCTGAATGCTGCACAAAAGAAGAGGGACTAGGGAAATAACGTTAGGAAGAGAAGAGACTGGAAGCTAAGGGTATTGGGAGGCGTTAATCCGGGTTAGGGAGAATAGGTAGGTGATCCTGAGGACAGTGGAGTGCGGCACACCTTGCTGGGAAATGTTAAGAGATGGGAACATAGCCTAGCATGATAAATCTGGTGACCCTCTAGATAGAGTGGCCAAGAAGAAAGTGTCAGCTGAGAAGCGGCGCTATTGGACTCCCCTGGGTATCGCCAGTGCGGCATGCGACTTCGTGCAATGCAGGATGCCCAGGAAAGTGGCATTGAACTGAGAGCCTGTCAACCATGGGACCTGTGGAAATTCTGAAATCCCTCTAGGATGTGTAACTGCTGTAACTAATAATGCAGCACTAACAGTCTAAAGCATTGTCTGCAGAGAGGAATCCTCTACCTCACAGAGTATGCTGGCTGAAAAACCAAGGGAAGTAGTTTCTAGGTTCTGTTTGGGGTTTGGTGTTGAATGTAAATAATGACTGAAACATAATTATTTCATAGTGTGAACTCCAAAGCACTACTAAACAGAAATCTTAGTTAAAGTAACCCAATAGGCTGATGGGTATAAAAGAATAACTTAGTTTGTATATTCACTGTGATGGTCACGAATCTGAGAATGGCGACGTCATTTGAAATCTCTGCAGCCTATTTTAAAAGTGTCCTGCCTGTATTAAACAGCTCGCTAATGAGTTTAATCTTATTTAGGAGTACTTTATCAATCAGTTGAAGATAGAAGGAGTCGAACACCTCCCTCGACGCGTGACAAATGAAATCACAAGTAACAGTCGTTATGAAGTGTACACACAAGGTGGTATTATATTTGCAACAAGTCGAATACTTGTGGTTGATTTCTTGACTGATAGAATACCTTCAGACTTAATAACTGGTAAGAATTTGAAATCTTCCTTATGTACAAAGTGAGCGTTTCTATTTGTGTCTGTGTCCTCTGCTAACTGCTAAACTGGTTCTTATTATTCAGCATTGTAGTTAAACTGTTGGCATAATACCTGACACATTGTAGATATTCAGTCAATATTTATGACATAAATAAGTATGGCTACATGTCACTTAATGGCCACAGGTTCTCAGGCTGTATGATTTAGCTATTGTATGAAGATCTTAGAGCTTACATACAAGAACCTGCATGCATGATGGCCTAGAGAGGTGGGTCAGAGGTTACGGTTGCACACTGCTCTTGCAGAAGACAGTAGCTCAGTTCCCAGCACCCTTTTCAGTGGCTCACAACTGACCCTTAACTCCAGCTCCAGGGAATCTGAGAGTACTGCACTCAACATGCACACTCCCCCCTCTCCCGTCATACACGCACAAACATACATGCATAATTTTTAAATAAAAATAAATTTTTTAAATTCCTGAATGTTACAACTCAGTTAGATGTTGACCTCTCGATGCAACCAAGAGACATAGTAAACATGAGCTTTTGGGCCTGATGCCGCCATTGACACAGCACAGTGTTTTATGGTTGACTTGTTTATATAAGTAGAAGGGGACCTCCAAAATAAGGAAGAAAAGCACAGTATAGTAAACTAGCCAGACGACCACTTACTATATTACCGAGTTTTATGTATACTGCACATAACTGCGTGTGCTGTATGCTTATGTGACTAGTAGCACAGTGGTGTATTTGTTATAGATGTTTTTACTTATTATGTTTAGGGATGTTTTGCCTGTTCCCCATGCATGTCTGGTACCTGCAGAGGTCAGAGGAGATTACTAGATTCCTGGAACTGGAGTTACAGATGGTTGTGAGCCACCATGTGGGTACTGGGAATGAAACCTGGGTCCTCTGAAAGAGTAAGTGCTCGTAACCACTGAGCCCTCTCCATCCACAGTCTTTGTATCGGCATACAAACACGTAAAGGGTCATGATCTGACAGAGGTGTACCTACTAAAACATGGGTACTTGTCAGCTCTGTAACTTCTAGTTGAAGCATCACTGTTCCTTGTGTGAGTTTGTGTAAGATGTGGCCCCTTGTTTCTGAATCTTACTTGCACTAATATTTAGTTGACAAGCATTTGCCTTTTGGGAATAGCCAGACTTGGTGTGTTTATCAGTACTCTTCACAGATCTCTAAATGAATTGGCTGTCCTTCCTTTTCTGATGATTTAAATTAAACTATTTAGTTACTTTTTGCTTTTGAGGGGAAGGGTAGGAGATCCTTTTAGCTTGGAGTGGTATAGAAGCAATCAATTTAGTTATTTTGAAATTGTCTCTTCAGAAACTGCTGCTTCCCTGAAGCTAATCTCAGAGCCCCGCCACTCTGCCATTAATCTACCCCGTGCCTCTCTACCCAGAGCACTCGGGCGCTACTTGCACTTGCCACCTGTACGATAAGCTTTGCCCTAGGAAGCATTTGTTCACATAGCTGAATAGCCAGTACAGGTTGCTAACACACGCTTGCTGGCTGCTGTTGCCTTGTGTATGCACCGTGCTCGACAGTGTCGGGAGGGCAGAAAACTGAGATTCGCAAGCACACTCCCCACTGTGTCCCCCTGATCTTCCTGAATTCAGAAGCACCTCGAGGAACCTGGGGCTGAGTGAGTAAAGGGCTGGTGAGGTTCCTGGAGCTGCGGAAGGAGGTTTCGTCATTCTTTTCTGGCATTTTCACTGTCTTAGTGGCTTGAGCCTTGCAGCCAGACACACCTGACTTTGAGTGCCAACACCCACTCACAAACATGGTCCTTAATTTTCCTGAACTTCATTTTCTCATTTCTATTTTTTTTCAGATTTTTTTTATTGAAAATAAATTCTTCTCTCATACAATACGTCCCAAATCCCAACCACAGTTTCCCCTTCCTCTACTCCTCCCAGCTTCCCCCACCTCCCCTCTCCCCCCAGATCTACTCCCCCTCCATTTCCTCTTCAGAAAAGAGCAGGCCTCTAAGAGATGACAGCCAAACATGACAAAACAAGGTCCAATAAGACAAGGCAATAGCCCTCACATCAAGGCTGGACAAGGCAACCCAAGAATAGGAAAAGAGTCCCAAGAGCAGGCAAAAGAGTCAGATGCACCCACTCCCACTGTTAGAAGTCCACAGAAACACCAGCTAACAGCCATAACACACAGAGAGGACCTGGTGCAGACCCTGCAGGCCCCATGCTTGCCGCTTCAGTGTCTGTGAGCCCAGGTGAGCCCTGCTCTCCTGTGTCCTCCATCCCCTCTGGCTCCTATGGTCTTTCCTCCCTCTCCTCTGGGGGGTTCCCCAATCTCTAGGAGGGGAACCCTGTGGAGACCTCCAATTTAGATTCTGCCCATAATGTTTGGCTGTGTGGTCTCTGCATCTGCTCCCACCTGCTGCCAGAGGAAGCCTCTCTGATGACGACTGAACAAGGCCATCTATGAGTTTAGCAGAATATCATTAGGAATCATTTTACTGATTTTTATTTATTTATTTTTTTAAGACCGTTGGTGTTTGGTTCTACTGCAAGTCTCTGGACTATGCAGTCTCCAGTTTCCGGCCATCTAAGCAGGATGGCTCTCAAGTGAAACCAGACATTGATGGCCACTGCCACAAGTTCTGCACCACCACTGCCTCAGCACATCTTGCAGACAGGACAGATTGTAGGTCAAAGGTTTTGGTCCTGGATTGGTGTCCAGGTTTCTCCTTCCATAGCCTGCAGAGTGCCTTCTCAGGTCAAAGAGACTAGAACGTAGGAGTGAAGGATCCATGCAGACACCAGCTTGACCTCTCTGCGTTCAGGGGGCTGAGTGGAAGTTGTCCTCAGCAATGAGACCCTGCTGTCAGTTTTCAGAGGGTTAGCTTCTGTCCTAGCATTCATCTGAGTTATTCTTTTGTTGTCATTTTTGTTTTGTTTTTGAGACAGGATTTCTCTATGTAACAGCTCTGGCTGTCCTAGAACTTGCTCTGCAGACCACACTGGCCTCAAACTCACAAAGATCCACCTCCCTCTGTCTTCCTGGGATTAAAGACATGTGCTGCCACCACTTGGCTCAGTCTGGGTTGTTTAGGGATCTCCACAGGACATCTTTGGTCAATATCTCAACTGAATGTAATCCAGCCCACCACTGGAAGCCTTGCCTGTCTACAAAAGATGGCCAGTTCAGACTCCGTATCCTCCCTTCCTAGGAGTCCTCACTAGGGTCACCCTTAGAGATTCCAGGACATTTCCATTGCACTAGGTTTCCATTTCCACCCCAAAAGCCCCCTACTCCAGCTGTAGAGTCCCCTTCACCCCACCCCTGCCTCCTCCTGACACCTCTGCTCCCGTCCTCACCCACCCTCAGTCCACCCACAGAATCTATCTATTTCCCCTTCCCAGGGAGATCCATGCCCCCACCCACCCACCCATAGCCCTCCTCTTTACCTAACCTCTCTGGGTCTATGGATTGTAGCTTCATTATTTGCTTAACAGCTAATATCCACTTAGAAGTGAATACATACCATATTTGTCTTTCTGGGTCTGGGTTACCTAACCCAGGATAATCCTTGCCTGAAAATTTCATGATGTTATTTTGTTTTTTTAACTGATGAGTAATACTCCATTGTGTAAGTATACCACATTTTCTTTCCATTCTTCAGTTGAGGGACATCTCAGTTGTTTACAGTTTCTGGCTATTATGAATAAATCTACAATGAACATTGTTGATCATGTGTCCTTGTGGTAGGATGGAGCATCCTTTGGGTATATACCCAAAAGTGGTGTAGCTGGGTCCTGAGATAGATCGCGTTCCAATTTTCTGAGGAACCACCATATTTATTTCCACAGTAGCTGTACAAATTTGTACTCCCACCAGCACTGGAGGAGCGTTCCCCTCTCCAGCATGAGCTGTCACTTGTTACTGATCTTAACCATTCTAACATGTGTAAGATGAAATCTCAAAGGAGTTTTGATTTGCATTTCCTTGATGGCTAAAAATGTTGAACATTTCTTTAAGTGTTTCTCAGTCATTTGAGATTCCTCTATTAAGAATTCTCTGTTTAGATCTGTACCCCATTTTTAATTGGATTGTTTTTTTTTAATATCTAGTTTCCTGAGTTCTTTATATATTTTGGATATTAGCCATCTATCAGATGTGGAGTTGGTAAAAGTCTTTTTCCATTCTGTAGGCCATTTCTTTGATTGACAATGTCCTTTGCCTTGCAGAAGCTTTTCAGTTTCATGAGGTCCCATTTATTAATTGTTGATCTTAGTACTTGTGCTATTGGTGTTCTATTCTGTAAGTGCCAGTATGTTCAAGGTTATTCCTCACTTTCTCTTCTGTCAGGCTCACTGTAACTGGTCTTATGTTGAGGTCTTTGATCCACTGGACTTGAGTTTTGTGCAGAGTGATAAATGTAGATCTATCGGCATCCTTCTGCATGCAGCCATCCAGTTTGATGAGTACCATTTGTTGAAGGTGCTGTCTTTTTTTCTCGTGTGTATTTCTGGCATCTTTATCATACAAGCAGACAAGACACCCATACACTGTGTGTGTGTGTGTGTGTGTGTGTGTGTGTGTGTGTGTGTGTGTGTGTGTGTGTTTTAATTAAAAAACAGTGCCTCTTAGAATGAAACCATAATAAACTGCACCAATAGTCGTCCTTTGTAGCTGGAGATATTCATGCATCCAAAGCTTGCTTTATGTGTGTAAATATGGATTTTAAGTTGCTAACATGAAAACATTGTCTAGAAACTACCACTAGATGTCAGTATTGCACCAAGTCAGTGGCCCTCACTAGGCCTGCACAGTCTGAATCACACCTTCTCCCAGCTCAGCCTACAGGTGAGTTCTTGACTGAAACTTCCAAAGTCAAGGCCATTCTGGTCCATGCTGTCCTGTCTCCTAAGAGGCTCCCATGGCCCTCTACACACACACACTGCACTGATGATGCTGGTTTACAAGGACCCCCAGTGGCTTCACTCAGTAGGAAGCACGTGGTAGAGCCTGTCAACCCTCCTTCTGGATGACCTTGGTCAGGTTGCTCCCCCCTGCCCTTTTTTTAATCTTAAAATAATCCCTACATTAAATGAAAACACACAGAACCCCCTGAACACAACTGCCTTTGGGGACACTTCATGTCCAAATCATAACATCAGTGGCCCAGGGTGAATCCTGTTCACAAAGCCTGCGCCTGGAGTTAGGGTTAGCTTTCTCCTTTCTTCTGAATTCCAAAACAATGACAGCCTCTTAGGGCACATTGTCCTAATTTAAGGCTCACGTATAGTTCAGAAGTCCAGTTTTATTGTTTTCAATGTTATGTGCTATTTCTATTGCATGTGGTATGCACATGTATGTGTGTGTAGTTGTGTGCACCTGTGTACTTACATGGGCCAGAGAAGGATAGTGAGCATCCTGCTGTCTGTACCTTACGCTCTTGGGGCAGGGTCTCTCACTGAACTTGGAGGCAGGTTGGCAGTCAGCAGGCCCCAGGGATCCTCCTGTCTCTGTCTCCTGTGGCTCTGGAGCTGCAGTATGCACAGGGGCCATGCCAGCTCCCTGTGTAATGTTTCAACAGGCTAACTACACATGGCCCGTGGAATCCTTGGGAAAGCCATCTCCTTAGTTTAGAATATTTTCTGAGCAGTAAAGGAGTATGTTGTGTGCACCAGTATAATTGGAAGTTCTTTGTCCATGAACTCGTAAATGAATTTTCTTACACTTGCTTGTTGTTAGGGAGAGTAAATTTTACTGCCAGCCACCTTATCCAGAATTTCAAAATAAAGTAATAGGATCTGCAGTGAGTTATTGAGTGACAAGAAGGGCACATGGATTACTGTATGATTTTTAGGACCCAGTGAGCGAGGAGAGCAGGCCCTCAACAAGTGCATGTATGTACATGGATGTATTAATGTATATCAAAACAAGTGTATGTGTGTACATGGACATATTAATGTATATCAGCTTGATTTAGGTCTAAACAACTGTGAATCATCATAGAATGGTGAGTGTGACCCAGAAATGATACCAGGCCTCTATTAGATCTACTTCTCTCTAATGTGTCACTAAACATACAACATCAAAATGGTACCAACAGGACCAGCAAGATGGCTCAATCCCAGAATTTGTCCTCTGACCTCCACCTCTGCCATGACATACACACACACACACACACACACACACACACACACACACACACACACACACACACACGAAATAAATGTAATAAGAATGGCAGTACATTAAAGGTCTCCTGTTTTAGTATCTTATATTTAAATTAAGAAACATTTATAATTATCTTTTATCTTACATGTATGTGTGTGTGCTCACAAATGTGTAGGTGTACATGTGTGTGGAGGCCCAAAGTTGACATTAGGTGTCTTCCTCAATCTCTCTCTTCTTTATTTGTTAAGGCAGGATCACTTGCTGAAGCTGGAGCTTTCCAATCCTTGCTAATTTAGCTAGCAACTTGCTCAGGGGATCCCATGCCTCTGCCTCCCTGGTGCTGGATACAGGTGGCCCCACATTTGCCTAGCTGTTATGTGAGTTCTAGGGGCACATGGCAAATGCTTTCTTCACTGAGCCATCTCTTCAGTCCTTGTTCTTGTTTTTAAGATTCAGGGTCATCATACCACACAGACCACAAAAGTCATGTATTTCTAGGCATGGTGGTGCATACCTCTAATCTCAGTACTCAGGAGGCTGAAGCAAAAGGATCATGAATTTAATTAAGGCCAGGCTAAGTTAAATATCAAGTTCCTGCCTCTACAAACAAAACAAAATGTTGTATTGAGTTTGCTTGGTCAAAGTTTTTGTTTTAAATAGTATAATTTACCTCATTGTTGACTGTATCCTCAAAGCTGACTTTATCTAATGGGATGCAGATGCTACCCAGACTTGTAAAATAGAGCTGTTTTATGTGGTCCATCTGTTCACACTGTGTGCCACTCAAGAATTCTGCTCCTTTTCTCTCATTCAGCCTGGTCCCTTTGTGGTCCAGACACTCACAGTCCAAATGGCTCAGGAGACTCACTCCATCACCTCCACTTTCTGCTTACACACTCATCACTGAATTTAAAACATAGATCCCCACCTGTGCTGGCTAGTTTTATGTCCATGTGACACAAGCTGGAGTCATTGGAAAGGAGGGAGCCTCAACTGAGAAAATGCCTCAGTAGGATTGGGCTGTAGACAAGCCTGTAGGGCATTTTCTTAGTGGTCCATGGAGGAGGAGTATGGGTGGTGCCCATTGTGGGTGGTGCAACTCCTGGGCTGGTGGTCCTGGGTTCTATAAGAAAACAGGCTGAGCAACCTAGGAGGAACAAGACAGTAAGCAGCATCCCTCCATGGCCTCTACATCAGCTCCTGCCTCCAGGTTCCTGCCCTGACTTCAGTGATGAACAGCGATGTGGAAGTGTAAGCCGAATAACCGCTTTCCTCCCCAAGTTGCTTTTGGTCATGGTGTTTCATTGCAGCAACAGAAACCCTAATTAGAACACCACCCTTGTGCACACTTCTCCTTCTGATTTGTTTTCTTCTTAGCACTTGTAATATTAAACATTTTACCCATGTTATTTCAAGTTCTGCAAAAGAATAAGGATTTACATCTGCACCCAACCTAGAGCAAGGCCTGCCTGTTTTCAAGTAGGTGTTTCAGAAAAGGGGAATGAGCCAGAGTGAGCGTGGGAGTCACCTGTGTCCACAACGCCTGTCTTCTTTAGGGTTGCTGTTGCACTCTGATAAATCCCCGTTCTGGACATAGAGATTCATCTCACATGTTCTGTTACCCTAGAGAAGCCTGACTAATACAGCCCCCGCCCCCCCCCCCAGGCATCCTCGTGTACAGAGCACACAGGATCATCGAGTCCTGCCAAGAAGCCTTCATCCTGCGTCTCTTCCGCCAGAAGAACAAGCGTGGCTTCATCAAAGCTTTCACAGACAATGCTGTTGCTTTTGACACTGGTTTTTGTCATGTGGAAAGAGTGATGAGGAACCTTTTTGTGAGGAATCTCTACCTGTGGCCGAGGTAACGACATTATGGGACAGCTTTGTGAGCAGAAGAGCCTTAACTTAGCTGCACTTTAGTGCAGTTGATAGAAGACATGCGAAACTTGCCATCCTGTCCATAAGGACCTTTTTTTAAAAAAATACATTTGTGCATGTGTGTGCCAATTTTGTGGAGAATACTAGTTGTACAATTATTCTTTTATTTAATTGTTCCTTATTTCAGAAGTAAAACCTGTCTGTAAATGACCAGATAGTAAGTGTTCTGGTAGTGGAGGCGCAGTTAGCTCAGCCTCGCTGTTAGAAGCACAAAAGCAGAGCCAACAAGATGGCTGAAGGGGTGCAGGAGCTTGCCGCCAAACCCCGAGGACCTGAGTTCCATCCTGAAGACTCACGTGGAAGGAGAGAACTGACTGTGGGCTGTCCTCTGAGCTCTGTCTGAGTGCTCAGACACACCACAAGTAAATAAAAACATGTAACTTTGAAAAGAATCGGAGTAAGGGTGGCAAGATGGCTCAGTGTCAGTGCTACCTACTAACCTTGATGACTCAAGTCCAATCCCAGGACCCACATGGTTGTCCTATGATCACCACACATGCACTGTGGCACATACACACAAAATACGTGTGATCACTTTTTCTGGTTGTTTTGTTTTATAAGAACACAAAGCAGCCATAGATGGCAGGACCCCGTGGCTGGGCTGTGCCCTCACACTAGGGAAGCAGGTCCTGAGTTGAGCCAGCACTGGTTTCTGATCCTGCCTTGCTTGAGTGATGCTTTCACTCAGAAAGGCCCAGTGTGTTCTTAAGCGTTGCCATTTTGCTTCCATTTGGTTTGTAGCTGTTAATCTGGAAACTCTGTCTCCTTAGGTTCCATGTAGCAGTCAACTCGTTCTTAGAACAACACAAGCCTGAAGTTGTAGAGATTCACGTGTCCATGACTCCCGCCATGCTTTCCATTCAAACAGCCATACTAGACATCTTAAATGCGTGTCTGAAGGAACTGAAATGCCACAACCCATCACTAGAAGTGGAAGATTTGTCATTAGAAAATGCTCTTGGGAAGCCATTTGACAAGGTCAGCTTCCTTTTTTTCTTCCTTCTGCAGCACAGCTGGTTAGGTTGTCATTTTAAAGAATGCAAGGCATTTTACTAGTCACCATGTCCTTTGTAGGGATTAAGCTGTAGGTGATTTAAAGTGGGGCTGCTTTACCTACGAGGAACTAGTAATTTGCAGTGGCATCTGTGTTTGCCAAGGCTGACTCTTTCAGCTACATAGTGAGTAAATGTCTTGTTGTGAGTTTATCGATGTTGTCTTGGTTCCAAAATGATGTCAGTGTCTTAGTGTCTGTAGACACAGAGTCTATAGACGAATGCTTCATAATTATACATCCCTAAACTTACCATCTTTTTTAAATAGAAAATTGGGTTTTTGGTGGAGGATGTTTTTGTTTTTGTTTTGAGACAGGGTTTCTCTGTGTAGCCCTGGCTGGCCTAGAACTCAATGTGTAGACCAGGCTGGCCTAGAACTCACAGAGATCTGCCTGCCTCTGCCTCCCGAGTACCGGGATTAAAGAAGTTCATTACTGAGACCTCTGTTCTGTCTCAAAATTACATTCTGAACTGAGAAAATGATAAGTCTTCAATTCAAGGAATTTTTCTTGTTTTTTCACCATAGCTTAATATTAGATATGTAAGTATTCAGTCCTATAGTGAGTTATAGAACTCCAAAATACTACCTTTAAAAAATTCCAGGTCACTTTTTTTTAGAACATGCCACTGTCTTTTAAACTCTGAATCAGTCTTGGTGTTACCAGGAACTGTGTGTGGTGACCGTGCAGAAGGAGAGGCCTGACTGCTGTGAGATACTCATTGGCAGGATGGATCCTGTGTGTCCTGTCTTCCTTTGTCTTAGAGTGTGTACAGCTTAAAGCGTGGGGATGACAAATCTTCATATTCTTCTAATAGAGTAGATATGTCCTAGAAAAGCAGAATGCATTACTCAACACTGACTTCTGTCTGATGTCGCTGGCTGGTAAGAGTCAAGGGTTGTTTTGGACACTCTTGCATTAATCACATCTACATATAGACAGAGCTTGCATCACAAAAACTTGAGGTTCCATGTGTCTTTTAACAAAAGAGGTCTGCTGTTGTAGAATGTTTCCTTGTCACATGCATCCTAGTCTGGAGCATGAATTATAAGGTCACCCAGGTGCCACTTCTGCTCGGTGTGCACTTGTCAGGTGAGAGACCCAGGAGGTTACTATTTCTGGTCATAAGAACAAGTTGATGGCTTTCTGATACACAGCAGGCCTTTTCTGTCTATAGTGTAGAGTTGCATGCCTGTTTGTGTATGTCTGCACACATGTGCATGCACAACTGTGTGGTGTGTGTGTGTGTGTGTGTGTGTGTGTGTGTGTGTGTGTGTGTGCTGTGTGCACGTGTGTGAAGTTGTACATGCTCCTGAATGTGTAGAGGCCAGAGGAGGACATGGAGTGACCTCTTTATCATTTCTTTGCCTCGTTTCCTTGAGAAAAGGGTCTTTCACTGAACCTAGAGCTGAGCTGACAGCTAGAATGTCCCAAGGTCTTTCTGTCTTTGCCCCTTATAGCTCTGGGGATATAGGCACATGCCTGTGTTTTTATGTAGGTGCTAGGGATTTGAACTCAGGTCCTCCTGCTTGCACAGTGGACACTCTTACCCACTGAGCCATCTGACAGTCAGTTAATAAAAATCAAGGGAGATTAACTCCATCCTGTCATAAAAATTGTAGTAATAAGATATTATGCTTTTCAAACATTATTAAGATTTGGTGACCTGAAACTTTTTAGCCACTTTCATGGAAAGAAATATTTAGGGAATCTTATTGTAGTAAAATATAAATAACAAAGCATTTAGCATTTTAAATGTGTTTTTACATATCCAGTGAATAACCCTTATTGAAAGTATGGCTGTGTTAAGAAAAACCATAATGAACATTTTTTAGCAGTAGTAAATTGTGTTCTTTTTCAGACAATCCGCCATTACTTGGACCCTTTATGGCACCAGCTTGGAGCCAAGACAAAATCCTTGGTGCAGGATCTGAAGATGCTGAGAACCTTGCTGCAGTATCTCTCTCAGTACGACTGTGTTACATTCCTGAATCTTCTGGAATCTCTGAGAGCAACAGAGAAGGTGTTTGGTCAGAATTCAGGTGTGAGATAAAAATACTAATATTATTCTAGGAGCTGGTTGGCATAAAGTGTCAAAGGGAGGAGTGCTATATTCAACCATGTGTTATAAATTGCATTTCATGTTCACTGCACAAGGATGTAAAGCTTTATTGAAAGCTAATGTTCCCGCCTACTTAACTTCTGTTCTGTATAATAAATATTCATATCCATTCCTGGCAGTTTTATTTCCAGAAAAGACTTTGTAGTACAGACAGTCTCCAACTTGGAAATAGGTTATGTTCTGGAAGTTTAGTTGTTAGGAACTTAAAATTAATTTTACTCAAAGAGCCCCCAAGGGATGGGTTTTATCTGCTAGTGTCAAAGACTTAAGAGATTTATTTAGAGGTATATGCATGTACAGTGACTGTCATGGTAACCACTCAAGACCCTTGAGTCCTAGAGTCAAATTATATGCAATTAATAATTTTTATTGCTTCTTTGGGACATTCTTAAATAACAAAATACAGAAGTGGGGATAGAGCTTCATGCTAGAGCACATATCTAGCACATGTACTATTCCCCAGCATTGTGTACATACAAAAGTAATGAACTGCAAAGGTACACGAGGAAAGGACTCATTCGTTGGTGGTACTTGGTACCACACCTTGGGTTATTCAGAGTTACCAGTGGAGTTTTCCACTACCATCCTTGGAAATGTCAACACAATTGTCTTAGAGTTATTATAAGGAAAGTTTTGATATCTCATACCCCATGAAAACCTCTTGGGGAGTCCTAAAAGAGTCCCTGGGCCACAGTTTGAAAACCACTGATCTAGTCAAGTAGAGGCCACAGCAGTAAGAGAAACTGAGGTACAGTTGCTGTGAAAGCAAGATGGCAGCCAGTGGTCTATGTGGGTTTTGTGCCCATTAAAGTGTTTAAAATTACCACTAATTGAAGCCTTTTTTTTTTAACCATTGTATTAGGTTGGCTTTTCCTGGATGCTAGCACCTCCATGTTCGTGAATGCTCGTGCACGAGTTTATCGTGTTCCAGATACCAAACTGAACAAAAAGGCCAAAATGTCTGAAAAGGTGTCGAGTGCAGAAGGGCAAGGTCGGGTCTTAAACACTTCTCTGTTTACACTGGTGTGGAAGCAGGTGTCAGCTTAAAGCAAATTTAAAATCTTCTGTTCTGCATATAAATGCATGTAGTGTGTGGGAGGAGTGTGCAATGAAACCAGGATGTGATCCAGAGAACCAGTGCCAGAGGCCAGACGTCAGAAAAAACATTTCAACCATGACTATTTGGGGCATGTAAAGTCTTAATGAAGCATTTCAGCATTCTTTGCAACTTTTAAAGATTATAAATACACTAGAGAGAAGTAACTGTAGGTTTTATTCTAGTTTCTACCTAGGAAGAGTCTGAGGCCTGGAATGGGGTAGTTAATGCTTGTTTCTGCCTCGTCCAAAGACCTATTCAAAACAGTGTGTTCATAATCTGTTTGAATACTTGAAGAAAAAAATAGTTGTTACCTGTTTTTAGCCATGTTCAGGATTGTAGAAAGCACAGGCTTATTAGAAATAATAAATATTGGTGGCACCTATTCCTTGCTTTTCGTAGCTGCTTTTGTACAGTGTCCCAAGTGGCAACAGAGCACCGGTTCTGTCAGCCATGCACACAGCCCATCCATGCATCCCGTCACCTCTGCACACCCCAGCAGACCTGTCAGCGGGCTATTCCAGAGCAGCAGCTCCTGTGTAGCATGGTAGAGGCCCAGGGACATGTCCTTTCCCAGCGGTGCTAGTTTTCTGTTGTGGGAAAGCCTTTGGCATGGTTTTGACTAACCATCACACAGGATGCGGTTATATTTTATTTCTATACAGAAACAAAAAAGGAACTGGTCCTAGAAAGCAACCCAAAGTGGGAGGCATTAAGTGAAGTCCTAAAAGAAATCGAAGCAGAGAATAAGGAGAGTGAAGCCCTTGGAGGCCCAGGTAAGAACAAAGGGGAGATGGCGACATTGGCTGAATCTTTGTTTTTGTTTCTGAGACAAGATCTTACTGACCTAGAGTGGCTTTGAGCTTGCTGTGCCTCTGAGGCTGGCCTTGACATTCTGATTTTCCAAGCAGGTGCCACCAGACCCCACACAGCACCCCGACATTAGCTGTCCATCAGCCGGCTCCCAAGGCTGCTCACCAAGCTCAGCCTTCACTGCTTGGCTTCTCGGGACCTCTCTTCAGGATTCAGCTAATTCCCATGTATATACTCACCAGGTTTTAAATCTAGAATCTCCAAGGAATCAGCTGGTGGTTTTTCTGTTTTATATCCCCAGCCAAGTGTCTTTCCAAAAAAGCTTAAATGCCTCTATTGACTGAGCCCTAGAAAAACAATTCCAAGTTCTAAGCCTTCTACCTTCAAAAAGGAACATGCTAACAGATGAGCACAGTAGACTAAGCCCGAACTGTCAATTCAAAATAAAACTAGAGAAAGAGTAAATCTACATGTTTGAAAACTGACTGAATCCTTGAACTGCCAAGTAATAAAGGCAAGCGGGGTGACATGGAGCGCCCGGGAAAGGAGGCGCACAAAGTGTCATGACACTATGGAGCGCCACAGTGAAACTGGCTAGTTTGTGCACCACCCTAGTGCTTAGTGTGTCTGAAGATGCTGAAGGGGCTGGAGAGAAGGCTCCGCAGTTACAAGCACTCACTGCTCTTGCCGAGGCTGAAGGTCCAGTCCCGGCCTCCACGTCAGGCAGCTCACGGCCACTTGTAACTCCAGCTCCAGGGATCTAGTGCCTTCTGGCCTCTACAGCATCTGCACGTTCACACTCGAATTTGGGCACATGCACAAATAAGAAAGTAAATCCTTTTGAAAAGGCATTCCTTATACTAGTAAATCCTGGTGATAATTGCCAGAGCTTACAGCACTGTGGTCTGAGACCCCAGGTTACATGTTCTCTTAGATGAAGTGGGGGTGGGGCAAGATTCCCAACCCCGATGATGCGATGCTGACGTCAGTGTGTGTCCTTCCCGGTTCCTTTCACATTTTCTATTTTACATTGTTAAAGTCATTTGGATGTGCCCAGCCCTCAGCCTGAAGTCAAGGCTAGCTAGGCATATGGCTCCCCAAAGCTTACACTCAAAGCATTAGGAGGGGGCCTTTGCTGCCAAACTGGACAACCTAAGTTTGTTCCCTGGAAACTACATGATGGAGGAAGAGAACAGGGTTTCTGACCTATACACACACACTAAATAAATAAAATGAATGTAATCAAAACTTTAAAAACCCTGAGGGGTGTTTGTGACATCTTTATAACTTGATTACACAGCTCTCAAGAGGCTCACTGGAAACCTGTCTTGTAATTGGACTTGGAACGGTCCTTCTGCCCCTGCCTCCTAAGTGCAGGGGTTATAGGCTTGCTACGCACTGGTTTTTATATAGTCCGTTTTCATTTTACTTAGCTAACTGACTGGAAATTCTCTATCTTTTGTATGTCTGTGTACATGCTTTACACATGCACAGCAACTTTATTAGTTGGAGAAGACATCAGACATCTTGTCCTGAATAAGCCAGCCCTGCTCTCAGCTGTCTCTCGAGCCTATGTCTTAGCTGCTTTGGCCAACTTAAATACAGCAGTTTCTCTGGTCCTCTTAGTTAGGATAGTGATATTGATCCGCTGATTGTGTCTCCAGACTTTCTAAGGCTGTTTTGTTGCTCTAAAAATCAACCTTTAGATGCAGTTTTCTCTGAGAACTATTTTTCTACTTTTAAGACTAGAAAATCACCTCCATCTTGGGGATGAAGACAGGCCATCCTTTCTTATGATTTAAGATTTGACATTTGAATATATAATCCACTTGGAATGTATTTTGGCGTCTAGGAGCCTCTAGAAAATTAGTCCTTAGAAGCTTCGTTAAAGCCTCCATTGTACCTTGGCTCTGCTTCCATTAGACTAAACAATTCTGGCTTCGGCGTCATTCCATGAATCAGTCCAGAGGTGACAGTGTGGGATTAGGGCCCAAGCCCCCTTTTGAACAATTTGTAAATTGGGTTCTTTAACAAGGGCAGGATGCCTTCCCATAGAAGGGGACAGGGGACCCAGGGCGACCCAAAGGAGCCGAGAATGGGAGTAAACAAGCAAGCATGCGTTCTCTAATTGCAGGCCAGGTGCTGATCTGTGCGAGCGATGAGCGCACATGCTGCCAGCTGAGGGACTACCTGACCATGGGAGCAGAAGCCTTCCTGCTGCGGCTGTACAGGAAAACCTTTGAGAAGGACAGCAAAGCCGAAGAAGTGTGGGTGAATTTTAGGAAGGGGGACGGCCCAAAGAGAACTATGAAATCTGACAAGAGACCCAAAGACGCTCAAAACAAAGAGCGCGCCCCCACCAAAAAAGGGCCCCCCAAAAGGAAGAAGCGAGAGCTGACTCTGACGCAAGTGATGAGGACTGCTGAGGAGCCACCAGAGGACGGGGCTGCGGAGGAAGGCCGGCACAGACACGCCGCCGCCGCCGCCGCCGGTAGCCCAGAAGGCTGCGGGCAAGAGATTGAGCAGGAAGCTTTCGATTTAAATTTGTCATCTGATGCGGCCTATGGCATCCTGAAAGAGCCCTTGACCATCATCCATCCGCTTCTGGGTTGCAGCGACCCCTATGCCCTGACGCGGGTACTGCACGAGGTGGAGCCCAGATACGTGGTTCTGTACGATGCCGAGCTCACCTTTGTCAGGCAGTTGGAGATCTACAGGGCCAGCAGGCCAGGGAAGCCGCTGAGGCAAGTCCTGCTTGGCGGTTCTGCGGGCTTTAGGACCAGAGGTGTTTGGCCTGCGTGGTGGTTTTCTTACCTTCAGGCTCCGTGAGGTTGGTTTGACGCTGCTTTGTGATGAATGGGAGGAAGCGCTCCCTCCGTGAGGAAGTCCGGCCACCCCTGCTAAATCGCAAGCTTCCAGAACCCCTGGCGTTTTTCCTGGCCTGCTCATATTCTTTGTTTATGTCTGAGTGTGTCGCTTACAGGGTACGATATCTGTAAGGTCTGGGAAATTTATAATGTCCTGTGTAATGTCAAAGGTAATATGCTAATGACTTAGCCAGATGTTATTAATCTTCTAAACACTCTGTAAAGTTTTAAACATTCTTCATTTTCTGTGTGGCTGTGTGCACACCATGACAACTTGCAGGAGTTAGTTAATGCCTTCCCTCCTTTTGTGGGCGCCAGGGATCACACCCAGGAGGCCCCTGCCTACCGCCACGTGACCATCTCACAGCCTACAGATGTTAGGACAGGAAGCCCCTGCCTACCACCACCTCACCATCTCACAGCCTACAGATGTTAGGACAGGAAGCCCCTGCCTACCGCACCTCACCATCTCACAGCCTACAGATGTTAGGACAGGAAGCTCTCACAGCCTACAGATGTTAGGACAGGAAGCCCCTGCCTACCGCACCTCACCATCTCAGCCTACAGATGTTAGGAAGTGACTCTAGATTTCATTCTTATAAAACTAAAGTCAGGAATTCCTGTACCAAGTTTTTTTGGGTTTCTAGAAATATCTCTTAAAAATCTACCAATCTTTCAGATGAGAAAGTGATGCCTCCCAAAGAATACAGTGTTCTCACTCTCCAGCTAGCTAAGGGGAAATAAACATCAAAATTAATATCCTGAACTCAGTCTGAACCAGAAACAGAGCCAAGAGAAGCCTTTGTAGCAGGGTGACTAAGGCAGCCTTGCAGAGCAGAGGCTGGCTCAGACGGATCCTGGGGATGAAGGCATTGATGCTTGGCTGGCTGCTCAGCCTGCTAGCCATCAGCTCCCGGGTAGTGTTCGGGCACCAAGTTCTTGCTGTCAGGATCATTCAGCTGTTTGCTCTGTCAGTGGGAAACTGAGGCCCAGAAATGGACGTTGATTTGGCTTCATCCACATGACACATTCAATGGGGCAGCTGAAATCTCCTAACTCGCCGTGCACCCCCCCCCCCCCCCCGTGACCTTTCCCCTCTGTATGCTTCGAAGTCAGATGGTCTGGGAAGGTTTGTGCTAAAAGTCAAGCAGGCTGAAAGGGAATATCCCTAATGGAGTAGAGTAGAGGGAGCAGGAAGTGCTTGACTCAGCCCTAGCCACATGAGGAAAAGCAAGCGCTCTGGTGTTTCAAACACTATTTTTAATGATGTGTGTGTATGTGAGCACCGGTCACCAAAGATGGGGGGTGGGGGGTGGGGAGGGCTGGAGTTAGAAGCAGCTTTAAACCACCCATGTGGGTGCTGGGAACTGAACTCTGGGCCTCGGTAAGAGCAGGAAGCACTCTTAACCAACAAGCCATCTCTCTAGCCCCAGAGCAAAGCCCTTTAGAGACAAAATACATCCCCCCCCCCAAAAAAATGAGATTCCTGATACTACCCATGTGTTTATATAAACACTCCACTCTGTTGTGACATAAATAAAGGGAACTGAGAAAGTACTGTGAGGGTGAAGGTCTTAAATGTTTAATGTGTTTGCTTGTCACTAGCATTGAATTTCCCTAAGCTGGTTCTAATGATGATTGTCCAACTTTTAAGCTATGGTTTGGCAGAAGTACAAAGAAAAAAGCTGAAAAAAGAAGCCTCGAAGAGATTTGTGGGTCTCTTTTCTATGTGTTTATGGTTATGAAGAAAGACTTCTGTCCTCTAGTTATATTCCAGTACTCACCTGAACTGTGCTCCTCCACTTGGTGAAAAGGAAAAGCAGCCTTGGGTAGCAGCCCCCCAACCCTTAGCAGGTGGGGTTCGCGTACCTCCTCCTGGGCCTCGCGTGCTCAGCGGGGCCTCACTCTTCCTCAGGTTGTTGTTACTTGAGTGTCCAGGGCTACTGTTCTCAGATGAGTCACTGTGCAGTCCTTCCAAGGTTAAGAACTACAGTTTTGCAAGCTAAAAAAGCTCTGTCTTTACCCACAGGGTCTACTTTCTTATATATGGAGGCTCCACGGAAGAACAGCGCTACCTGACGGCTCTGCGAAAAGAAAAGGAGGCATTTGAAAAGCTCATCAGGTGAGGTGGGTGGCCCACAGGAGCCTTGCTTAGCCTGGCCCTTCCCAGGGCCAGTGGAGGGCCAGTGGCTTCTCTGGTGGGAATATGAGACATCCCCCCAGGAAGAGAGGGCAGGAAAAAGGGGAGGGGAGAAGACTGAGCTGGGGATGGCTGATACCTGGGGCCTGCCTCACACACACTGCCCTCCCTCTCCCTTCCCCCTGCAGTTGCTTAATGCGAGTTTAGTGAGTAGACTCTAAGTTGTTCCCTTACCTGAAATCCTTGGAACTAGAAGTATTTCAGGTTCTGTGATCTTTTCATGTATGTGATAAGATGTGTTAGTGAGGGATCCAGTCCTGAACATGTGGTAGGTAGAAGGCGACAAGTGGGCGTGTGTGTGGGTTCCTTCAGCACGGGCCTGGACATGAATCTTCCCCTGTGCTGTTGTTGCATTGACCAGCCAAACACTTGGCACTTCATAACGTTTTCAGTTTCAGATTTTTCATATCAGAAATGTGTGAGGGAAACTGCTTTTTACCCATAGTGTGCAGCACCAGACACACCACAGAACACTGTTCTCTAGAAGGGAAGCTCTCCAACCCTGTACCTCTGCACAAGGGGCCTTCTTTTTGAATTACAGGTTTTCCCTCCTTATAAAATCTTGCTGGTCTGCAGGTGGGTAGCTGGGAAGTATTTATGTCTCTCCCCCACCCCCAGTTCTGACCACTATAAGCAGAACCCTCTAAGGTGGTGTTTTTTAAAGGTGTGCTGTTTTCTCATCGTGTATATGGTTCTGAGAGTGGGTGTCATTGCCAATCCTGGTGGAAAATGCTTCTCGGTTTAACAGGAGCTGGTTATGGAGCAGTCACAAAGCGGCTGTCGGCCTCTCACCCCTAAGTACCGGGGAGATCAGGTGACCTACCAGGAGCCACATCAGTAGACTGCAGTGGACTGATGACCCAAGGGACTAAGAAGCCAGTTAGACCGGGCATCATAGAACTGAGCCAGAGAAAGCCTAGGCCAGAGAAACAATGGCCTACATCTTTCCATGCCTTGGACATTGGCAGTGTACAGTGTCAGTAAGCCTGACACTGAGCTAGACAGAATCTCAGAGTGAACATTGTCCTCCAAGGCTGGCTGTGGGTGCTCAGCGTCTGTGTACCCAGGGTAGCCCGGCACAGGCATGTCTAGAAATGGGTTTTTACAGGCTGGTGCCTCTGGTCCCGCTGAAGGGCTTTAGCATGGTGTGTAGATAACACCCTTCCCTTTGTTATCTTCTAGAACAGTGGCATTTCCCTGAAGCTGCTAGCCATACAGTTTTGTTACTCAGTCTCTTAGCCTATGGAAATGCACCATGAGATTGTTTTGTTATGTATTGTGGGGGGTGTGTATGTGTATATGTTGAAAAGCTATTTCAGATGTAGTATTACAACAACAGTTATTATACAACCTCTTCTTAGTCACAGTTCACAGAGCCTCCTTTCTGTTCTCTAGACCTTCAGCTACTGAGTCTCCAACAGTGAAGCTACGTATTGAGCATGTAGTCCATGCGAATGCAGTGAGAAAGGGGTCACATTGAGCAGGTGTATGGGAGAGCCCAGAGGTTCAAAAGGCCCGGAGCCTTAGGACTCTGTGGCAGTACTACACACTCTAGGTAGCATGAGGCTCATGCATTTGTAGAGATGTCTACGAAAAACAACTGGGGGATGAAGTTGTCTGCTGGGAGAAGGTGGCAGCAAAGATAGGTTAATGAAGAGGAGGGGCAGATGTGAGAGATGTTGAGGAGACAGGTCCGAGATGTGGCACCATCAGGTCTGGGCCAGCACCTCCCTGTGGTTCTTTTATTGTTATAAAAATATCCTTTATCTTATTTTTCTCTGATCAAAATAATTGTCACCAAACCACAAATGAACACCTAGAGCTGAAGTATCCTTATTAGATCATTGGTTTTCCTGTGTCAAGGTCCCCAAGGTCACTCTCCAGTCAGTGATCTGCTTAGAAGGACTCACAATTAAGTTTGTCACAGAGAAAGGACACAGGTGAGACTCAGCAGGGAAAAGCCACCAAGTGAAGTTAAGGAAACAAGCAGGAAGGTGCCGTCTGGAATCGTGGAGGGGCACTCGGCTCTACCACTGTGTCTCAGCACGTGCAGACATGGCAGCAGGGACACTCGTCCAGCCTTGACGTCCACAGTTTTCGTTGAGGCTCAGTCCCATAGACACCACACCCATGTGACTGGCATTCCTCTCTCCAGCTGCAGCCTGCCAGAGCAGCATCAGGCATTCACCACCAGTCACAGGTAGCACTTGTACCTGTGACCCAAGGCCTCAGGCACAGCAACAATCTCGCCGATTGTTCCACAGGCTCAGTGCTCATCTCCAGGACCTAGCCATGGCCCAGCTTTGAGCATGCAGACCTTTCTTGGAACTTTGCCAAGCTTTAGCAACTGGACCCTGCTCAGTTAATGCTTCTCCCACACCTTGTCTCCAAGGAGCTGATAGGCTATGAGATTATAGTCCCCTAGGGGATGGGCTTTGTGCTCCAGACTTGGATCTTGCAGCTGCTGCCTCTTGCCTGGTTCATCAAGGGGCCTAATTGATAAAAGAGTTCTTGGAGTCAATAGTGGCAATGTGTTGTGCACCACCATGCCTCTCCTGGCCTGTACAAATGATTCTGTTCATCAGGGATGGGGGCATCGTCAGGGTAGAGGATCTGTGTAGCATGTATGTGTCCTGAGTTAATTCCCAGCCCACGAGAAAATACACATCCATCTTAATGGCATTTCACCTAAAACTTAGCATCACTTTTTTTCCAAACTCAGTATAAATAGTCTTCTACTTTGCACAGCAGTTAAGTGGTTACACTCTTCAGCATCTTAGGACTCTGACTTTCCCAGAAGATTGAGGAATTTGAGTGGTGTTTGTTTTTAAAAAATGCAAAGCAGCATTTGGGGTCCATTGCTAGCAGGGCATTTGCACTTCACCTGAACCAGGAGAAAATTTACTGTGACAGGAGGAGAACAGACTCTTGCCAAGACCTCCATGGGGATGTAAGAACAAAAGCTGGGCTGCTGTTTAAAATGACCAGGGAGGAATGAATCAGGCAGACTGGCAGCGAGCAAGGACTGCTTAGCTGGCTTAGAGTTAAGTAGACTCAGTTGCTGGAGAGTAAGGGCAAGATGTTGGACGGGTCAGCGGTTCACAGTGAAGGGTCAAGATCACTTGACTTTGCCGAAGAGGGCTTGCCTAGACACCATCCAGAGATTCCTCGACTCTTCCTTCCCACATTACATCTTTATTAGAGCTATTCACGTATCACTGAAAATCCCAGCACTCCAGGCCAGCCTGGGCTACATAGTAAGAAAAATGTTGTTGAAAATATTAAAGCAACAATAGAAGACGTCAGCACCTGAGGGAAAAGTGGAACGAGGTGTAGAATTTTAACTCTCTGACACAGGGCTGCTAGAGTAGTGCTGAGTGATGCCGGTAAGAGACAGGTGCTTGTGATTACAGTAAATGTCTGTTAATTTGCACCTGCTCAGCAAGACTTGCTTTCTTATGGTTACCAGTTCTTTCTGGGGTGTAAATTTTCTCAGAAGTGGAAACAGTGCCAACTCCCTTTGAAAGCAGACCTTTAGCTTCTTAGTGTGACCTTGGATAACTGGCAACTAATCCTACTACATTCCATGCATCCTGTAGTCAGCCTTTTCAAGTAGACTATTGGCATTATCCCCATTTTACAGATAAAAAAAAAAGACTGAGGCAAGGAGCCACTGAGTTATTCCAGGTCACACTGCCAATAAGAACTAGATCTCTGTCTGCCTACATATAGTAGATTCATCAGGAAGCTGGGGTGCACCCCCTCCCCCACCATATGACCTGTAGCTTAACATGTGAAAGTGGTAGAAATAAAAAGGATCTGCTAATGTTTTGGCCGTCCTCTTGGGTCCATTGGGTGTGGCCAGAAGATGCTGCTGGGCAAAGGTTTATGTCACAGAACCCTTGACCTGGCCTACAGGACAGTGAGGAGAACAGCCAAGCCCTTGTCCATCCCCACATGCTGGACTAGCAACAGCTCTGTACGCGTGGGTTGTTCCACACCATGTAGGGTTCCAAATTATACTTTGTGGCACACATGTGCCCACATAGATCACATACACTCTGTTCTTCGTAGTGTTTAAGTGGAGTCCTGCTCTATTTCATCTCTGGGAAGTGAGTGCTGTTCTGACCTGGTGCAGACACATCCGTTTTAGCAGCTCCTTCTGTCTTCCCCGGCCCCAGTCTCTGCTGAAGCTGTCAGTTCCGAGGTTTTGCTCATGGTTGCTTTACTTCCTCAGCTCTGCTGCAAGCCTCGAGAGAAAAGGTTCAGGTGTGCATGTTCTGTCACATCAGGCATATATCAGACAGTTAGGACATACAGTCTCATGAGTTAACTGCCACATGCCCAGTGGTTTCAAAGATAGAGGACCTCCAGCTCAGTATGGTGAGTTGGGGGCTTACTTGACATAATGATGTCTGTCAAGTCTTGGCAGGTGACACAGTCCTCCTTACCCCTGTATGTGAGATACTGGGTTACTCCGAAGACTGGAAGGATTATATGGTCATCTTTATTACATTTGTTTACGTGTTTTCATGCGTGCCTGTGCCTGCATCCATACATATGTGCATGTGCACTGTGTGGAGTCAGAGGACAACTTGCAGGAATCAGTTCTCTTCCACCAAAGTGGGTTCTGGAGCTTGAACTTGGATAGTCAGGCCTAGTGGCAAGCACCTTTACCCACTGAGCTGTCTTGACAGCCCTGTGATCATTTTTATGTCCTGAACTCCTAACACAGAACAGGGAGCACTCCATAATGCTTTTAAGCAAACCCACAAGAAGTGGCTGCTGTTCCCATCTCTTTCCCCAGATGTTGGTTATCTGTTCCGGTCCCTGACAGAAATTTTATTCTTATATTGACATTGATTCTCCTTTGAAACTGATGGTGTTGATGGGGCCTCCCCCCGGAGGTCTCCAGTCAGAGTCATACGGGTCTGTTTTCATTCTCTTAATCATTGAATGAACCCTCCCTACATATGACCCTGAAAAATATCTGACCTTAAATGATTTGTTTCTCAATATTGATAATGCCTTAGCCTTGCAGCAGGCTCAGGCAAAACTCAGTCACAAGGTAGAAACCAAAAGAGCTTCTTACTTGAATTCCAGAGGGTGAGAAAGGGAAGCCCAGCCAAGTGACTTCCTGCTCAATTCTTCCCATTCATTTCTAATGTATTTCTTGCATTCACTTTTATGATTACAGTCAGTGCCATAGACAATCCTCCTGCCTCAGCCTTCTGAGTGCTAGGATTACAGGGGTGCACCTCTGGTGCCTGCATGTAGATCACCTTAGAAATTAGACTTTTCTAAAGATTCATCTGTAGCTGGAAGTTTTTTTGTGTCCTGCCCAGTCCTGCAGCCGCTCAGACCCAAGTAAACATACAGAGGCTTATATCAATTATGAATTGCATGGCCATGGCCTATGGCTCAATTTTCTTGCTAGCTATAACTAAACTTAGCCCATTTCTATTCATCTGTATGTTGCCACGTGTTCCATGGCTTTACCTGTGTGCCATTACATGCTGTTCCTTGAAAGATGGGATGGTGTCTCCTCTGCCTCTCCTTTCTTCTTCCTGTCTCTCTCCTGGATTTCTTGCCTGGCTATATCCTGACTTGCCATAGGCCAGAGCAGCTCCTTTATTAACCAGTCATAGCAGCACATATTCATAGCATACAGAAAGACATCCCACAGCATTCATTGAGAATGTTGAGATTAGTCAAGTGATGCTTATGATATTTGTTCCCCCAGGGAAAAGGCTAGCATGGTTGTCCCCGAAGAACGAGAAGGCAGAGATGAAACCAACCTGGACTTAGCAAGAGGCACAGTGTCCACAGATGCTCCCACTGACACTCGAAAAGCTGGTAAGTCATGCCCTGGCCTAGTGCCACTTTTGCCCCTAGAGGAAGCTGTGAAGCCCCGGAACTGCATAGCTGAGTTTTTCTAGATAAACTCTTAAAAACACAGGCTAGGGAGCTTGCTCACCTGTGAGGAGCACTTGACTGTTCTTGCAGAGAACTTGAGTTCTGTTCCCAGCACCCATGTCAGGCATCTCACACTGCCTGGAAGGTCAGCACCAGCCTGGGGCCTCTCTGTGGTGTATAGAAACTCGTGCAGGCACACACACACTCAAATAAATAAAAATAACAAATGTAAAGAAAAGGAAGTGATTGGGGAAGATTCCAGATGAATTCTACCAGTGAACCCAGGGAAGCCAGAAGACTCACGCAGTAGCTGAAGGGAGCTTTCCCTAACTTCCTCTGCCTGTCCTCTCAGGGTCACACATTGCTAGGACTTCTCCCTGCTCTGAAGTATTTTCTACTTCTTGCTATCTCTCTGGTCCCAGATGCTTGGCATGCCACCAAGGCCTGCTGGATTCTAAGTGTACCTTTATTCACAAGAACTTCATTTCCCATAGCAGCTGCTCTCAGCCAAGCCACATGAGAGGGTTAAAGCTGATCTAGCCTCTGGTGCGGTCAGATGCATTCGCGTCCAGTGGACTTCAGGTGAATAGCTTTCATGCCCAAGCCTTCCCTGTGACACTCTGCCTGCCACAGGCTCAGAAACAATGGAGCCAGCTGCCTGTGGACAGAAACCCTGAGCCAAAGTAAATTCTTCCTCCCTTCCACTGTTCTGCCAGGTGTTTGTCGGGGGCCGGGAGAGAGGCTGGGGAAATGGCTCAGAGGTAAGTTAGAAGTTCTTGCATAATGACCTGGCAGTCTGAGTCCGTGTCCCGGCCTACTAGGCAACAGGAGAGAAGAAGCCCCTATTGAGAATTGTTCTCTGATCTCCACACATGTGCTGTGCACTTGTGGCCTGCTGACTTCAAACATAAAACTCTGCTTCTGTGGGTGGGAGCATCTGATGGAGAAGGACCTTGGATTGCACACCCCGGGAAGTACTGCTTCAGAACATCTGTGCCTTTTTTTTTTTTTTTTTTTAAGGCAGATTCTTAACTCTGCCTACCTTGGTGACCTTTTGGGAAGAACTACATCCCATAAGACAGGGTGAAGGAGGGAGGTCAAGCCATAGGTACCTACCGCACATCAAGCGCTTCCTAGAGGTCTGCCGTTTGGAAGCCTCTGTCTGGGTTTCCTATTGCTGCTGTAAAACATTACACAAATATGGTGTCTTGAAACACACATTGCCCTCCTTACAGGTCTGCAGGCTAGACAGAATTCCAGCTGGATGTCATTGAGCTAGCATCAGGGTGTTCACAGGGCTGTTTTCTTCCTAGTGGTTCACAGAAGAGCCCTTTCCTTGTGTGTCCCAGTGCCTTAGAGATGACCTGCATTCTTGGCTCATGGCCCCTCCCTGTACCTACAAAACCACACTGCTGTCTTCTCTGACCCTAGCGCCTCCCCCTTCCTCTCCTGTGTGCCTCTGGGTTTACCCAGGTCCTTAGTTCTCCAGTGAACATCTGATGAAGCAGCTTAAGGGGAGGATGGACTGGGCTCCTGCTCTGCAGAGGTATCCATCCACACTCGGCCATCTTTGTTGTTCCCAGGCCACCATGGTGGAAGGGTGTGCGCCTGGAAGCTGTTCATCTATGGCAGCAAACACAGAAAAACCAGAGGGTACGTGCAAGACACCCCGCAGTGGCATGTCCCGGTGGTCTGCTGCCTCTGATTAGGGCATCTTTCCCAGCAGTCCATTCGGCTCTGACTTCATCTGTACACCAGTCCCCGATGAAGTCAGAGCCCTCGGAGCAAGACTGCAGGGCAAGCCTTGATTACACATTGAGCCTCTAGGGACACTTATAATCCAAATCATAGCATCAAGTGGCCCAGGGTGACCCAGCCTCAGAACACTTACCTGAACCCCATTCACAAAGCCCTCCTACCATGCTAGGTAACCCCATGAGCAGTGACGAGGGTGCAGGCACTTGGGGGGGCATAACTCTGCCTATAAAAGCCTGTAACACTTAGAAGTGCCCTTGAAGAGGAGGAGATGCTTCAGTGGGTAGGAATGCTTGCTGTTCAAGTATAAAGACCTGAGTTCAAATTCCCAGCACTGGTGTTAAAAGCTGAGGATGGCCAGATGACTGAACGGCCGCTGCTGAGTTATGCAAGGGCAGGAAGAGCCCTGGGGTTGCTGACTACTGGCCCAGCTCCAGGTTCAGTGACAGACTGCTTGGAGAGAATATGATGGAAGAAAAGGACAGATTGGACGCTCATCACCTTCCTCTGACCTCCACATAGGGATTCAACATAGCTACACACACGCACATGCACACGCACGCACATATGCCACACGTACACACTCATGCACACATACCACACATACCCAAAAAAAGTCCGTAAAGCAGCAGTGTTATCACCTCTGGAGGTTGTGGAAGTGAAGTTTTGGAGTCTTTAATCTCACACCTGTTGAATTCAGAATCTAGCCACGGCCCCAGGTTTGCACCTCAGTGTGTAAGAGGCTGTTCCAAGCCTCTTGCCTTTGCCCGTCTCTAGACCCAGAGGTGATGACCGCAGCTCAGCAGGCCGGTTAGCCCTACTGTGCATAAGACCTGGAGATAGAAGACCAGTACAGATGTGGTCAGTGGAACCCGAACAGAGGTTTTTGTGTGCCACTGTAAGTCATGAACTGCCAGCCCAGTCTAGCTTTCCTATTGGTTCCATTTAATTTGGGGAAAACTACCTCTGTTTTCTCTAAAAATGCTATTTTTTTTAGAAAGTGTTACAACCATCCATGCGAGTTTAACAACAGAAAGGATTTAAATCTATCCGAGTTCATCTCTGAGTACTCTTCCCTGTGACATGACCTAAATAACCCTTTTCATAGGTGGCCAGGAGCGTAATGGCACACAGCCCAGTATTGTGGTGGACATGCGTGAGTTTCGGAGTGAGCTGCCGTCCCTGATCCATCGGAGGGGCATCGACATCGAGCCCGTGACGCTGGAGGTGGGCGATTACATCCTGACACCCGAGCTGTGCGTGGAACGCAAAAGCGTGAGCGACCTCATTGGGTCGCTGCACAGCGGCCGCCTGTACAGCCAGTGCCTAGCCATGTCACGCTACTACCGGCGGCCGGTGCTGCTCATCGAGTTTGATGCGGCCAAGCCCTTCTCCCTGGTGCCGCGCGGTGCCTTCTTCCAGGATATGAGCAGCAGCGATGTGAGCTCCAAGCTCACACTCCTCACCCTGCACTTCCCGCGCCTGCGGCTGCTCTGGTGCCCCTCGCCTCATGCCACAGCCGAGCTGTTCGAGGAGCTGAAGCAGAACAAGCCTCAGCCCGATGCGGCCACGGCCATGGCCATCACTGCAGACTCGGAAACGCTGCCCGAGTCAGACAAGTATAACCCCGGGCCCCAAGACTTCGTGCTAAAGATGCCTGGGATCAACGCCAAGAACTGTCGCTCCCTGATGAATCAAGTGAAGAACATCGCAGAGTTGGTCTCCCTGTCCCAGGAGCGGCTCACAAGCATCCTGGGGCATGCCGGAAACGCCAAGCAGCTGCACGACTTCCTCCACACTGCCTATGCAGATGTGGTGTCTGGAGGCAGAGTGAGAAAGTGACCGCGTTCAGATAGCTGATCATTAATCACTGCATAGCAGTTCATTCTTCCCCAGGGCTTTTGGGACGGGCACTCTATCTATCCCCGACGATTTCCCACGGAGCTCTGGGCTGAGATGTGTCCTTACCTCCCCCTGCTGGTTCTCGCTCCTCAGTGCCCGGTCTATGCTAGGCTTGCCCTGTTCCATTTTAAATCAAGCATGGCGGGATTATGCCGCGTGAAGCAAGCAGAGCTGATGTTTGCTGCTCAAGCTAGTAAAAAAAAACTCCATCGTGTTCCTAGCACTGTCTACACAGGGTATGGTAGAACTGAGACAGCGCTGCTGTTCCTAACATTCTCTCCAGCCATGTTCAGCTTCTTCACCTCCCACTCACAGGGACAAGCCAGCCCACTAGTCTCCTGGTCATCACATATATGTACATGTACTATGACTTGGTTGTTTAAACCAGTGCTTTGGCAAAAATTGTTTGTTGACAAGATTTGATGAGGTCATGAAGGACTCCCCAGAATTCTTGGTTTTCTCAATGTTTGACCTTCAAATTCCTACTCTAAGCCCAAATCACATCAGAAGTCTTCAGACCTCCTCCCACCCCACGTGTCACTGACGTCATCCACACGTCAGTGACGCCAGCGTCATCCCAGAAGCGCACCATCTCTGCCGTGCCCACGCTCCTGTGCTGACGGCCTCTCCTGCCTGAAGGAGGCCTAGACCAGATCAGAGGAGGTCCAGGTGCTTTCTAGATGTGGGTTTTTCTCCTTCACATTAAACAATTGTAGATAAATGGAAGATCAGTGCAGAGAATGCATAAGAATTCAAAAGAAATACATAGATGTTTAAGACCCACAAACCAATCTAAATGGTTGCTTTAGATTGGCCTTTCTGTGCTAACACGGGATTCACCGCATCTTCATGCTGTTTGCAGACTGATACTTGAGTGCTAGCCGTCGGGTGTTACGAGCAGTACGTTTTCTACCTCAAGAGCTGATGCCAACATGAATTCTAGCCTTGCCACGTGACTTCCTCAGTGTCAGCCGCCAAACTGATCAAAAGTGGACCTTGTAGCAAAAATACTGTCTTCTCTGACTTTAACAAAAGCACTTTGAGCTGAGCTCTCCTGTTGACATCATGATTTATTGGTACTTAAGAGTACCGTTATCCCTCAGTGTCCATGGGCAGTTGCTTTCAGGATCCTCTGATGGTGCAAAGTCTGGGTGCTGCTGTCCTTCTTATAACCTCTGCCTCCTGTGAACTTGAGACCACCTCTAGGTGGCTTACAGCAACTGATGCAGGTGTGTAAGGGGCTGTCCCCCTGTGCTGTCCTAGGGGTAGCGGTAAGAGTCTGCATGTTTAGTAGAGATGCATTTGTTTCCTGTATTTCCAATCCTTGGTTGGTTAAATTGGAGGATGTAGAGGACAGCTCAGGAGGATCTGTCGTCCTGTCCAGGGCCCTGAATGAACTGAGAGCGTCAAGACCCAGTTGATTATTGGGGGCTTCTGTTATGTGGTGTGGAAAATAGGGAGGAGATTAGAAAGTAAGCTTAAGGTGGAAAAGGAATCTGAGCTACTTGCTTCATCCCAGGGATAAAAATGTATTTGCCTTCTGGACGAGGACAGAACTGTCTGGTGATGCCGAGTGTTCGCTGTGGCTCCCACCTCCTTGACATGGGTGGATCATTTCACTTCTGCTTCTGGTGCACAGTCTCTTCTCTGTGTAATTCCACCCCCTTTTCTGTTGTTTGTTCCATAAAACAAAAATCATAACATAGCACATGCTATGATGGGTCTTTCATTCAGAATTAAATTTTCAAAGCCATCATTTTAAACCTAGTGCAACAGTGTTTAACACACTGACTTCCAGGTCCGTCAGCTCCCCATGTCAGCTGTTCACTGTGGCTCGTGTGGGATAAGCAGCCACACAGTCTGCAGCAGGCTTGAACGTGACTGAGGGTGTCCACTGTCTTGGGTGAAGACACCACTTTTCCTGATTGTCTCATCTGTCTCCAGGTGTGGAACCCTTCCAGTACGTCCATCGGTTGTTTGGTTTTCTCGGGGTTTGTTTGTTTTGTTTGTTTGTTTGTTTGTTTAACTTTTTTTTAGAATCTTTGCTAAAGGAACAGGAAGCTGCAAAGAGAAAGTCTGTTGTTTCCCAACAGCGTTTTGCTGCCTTTGAATTTCTTGTTGTTCAAAATCATAGATACCCAGTTTACTGATGAGCTCCTGAGTAGCTCTTAAAAGACCTTCAAAAGCTAGGTCAGCATCATGGTTACAAGCTGTTTATATAAAGCCTTGTACCTAAAAATTACAAGGAATTACCCTTGGGTTTACTTGCTTAAATCCTAGCACCTTTCTTGGTGTTTTCTTAAAATAATATGAGCAGATATCCTACTTAATAGTAGCCATCAAGCAAATCGTGGTGGCACACAGCCCTAATCCCAGCTCTGGGGAAGAAGAGGCAGGTGGATCTCAAAAAACAAAAAGTGGCGACCGTCAATACTGTCCTCAAGTAGTGGCTGTCCCTTTGGTGGATGATCACCAGACTGTAGGCCTGCAGATGTCTGAGTGCTTTATGGTGCAATCCTAGTTCACAGGGAACTGGAAATGATCTCATCCAGCCCCATCGGGTCTGGGAAGTGTTGAGGTGCAGGGACCAGGCGGAGGAAGGAGGCTCAACTCTGGCCTTTCCTTTTGTTTTCCCAGCAGAATTTGATTTCATGTTGCCTTGGAGAACATCTCAAGAGAGGGGTGTGTGTGTGTGTGTGTGTGTGTGTGTGTGTGTGTGTGTGTGTGTTCATTCAGCATCTTCCTCAGCTTTGTGGGCAAAAAAAGGTTTTCATTATATAGAATCGATGGTTAAAGTGGGTTTGCTCTGGATTGCTGCTTCTGTCTGGCGCCTAGGAATCCACACTCGAGGTCGTCAACACACCATCCTCAGTTGTTCCTTCTGTGCATGCTGCCACATCTTATGAAAGGAGGTGGAGAAGAAAAGCTCTTGTCCTTTGGAAATACCAATTTGTTGAAAACAATAAGTGTGTGGCATCTGGGGCATCCAAACAAAGAGTCATCTCCTGTACTTTTATTCCTTTTAACTCAAAAGTTAGAAGTGGGATTTATGATTTCTTGAACAAGTTTAATTATAGATTGAATTGGGTCACCAGTATGGTGTCCCGGGCGCTGCCTCTGCTTTGACGGTCCTTGCACAGCCCTTTCTAAAGTATGAAGACTAGCTCTCTTTTGATGCTTTACCCTTTGAATAAAGACTGGCAAACTGCTGAACCTTTTCTTTCCAAGACTGCTGTGCCCCTGTGGATCGGCCATTCCTGCCTTACCCCATTTAACCCCAGCACAAAGCCATGAAGTGCCAGTGTGTAAGCCTCCCTTGTGGTGAGGAAGCTAAGACCAGGGAGCTTGAGCAGTCCCCCCAGTGTCATCCAGTAGGTCTTCATAAAACCATGATTTGAAGCCCACACAGTCTGACTTCAGAGCTATAACAAAGCATGGGCATGGGAAGGCACCTGGGAAAGGGGCTGTTTTGGGGGGATGAGTGTGTGTGTCCAATTTCATGCCTGTAGCTCCACATGCACTAAAGGAAAAGCAAACAGGCTTGACTCCTAGTCGAGATCAAGCACAGTTCTGGTAGAGGGCCGAAGAATGCGCCGGGCCCCTTGTGCACAGCTGCCTGTCGTCGACTCTGACTTGTGCACAGCTGTCCTGTCGACTCTGACTTGTGCACAGCTGCCCTGTCGACTCTGACTTGTGCACAGCTG